TTAAAAAGCAAAATCTTAACTAGAAAAAAATATACGTTTGTGAAAAAAATTATATTTAAAACAAGTGGAGGTATGAAAGCAAAAAGGAAATCTTGATCAATGTTTGGAATTTTGCTATGAAAAATAAATCTACACTTAATCCAAAGATGCCCACAATTATTCAGATATTAAAGGCCTGTTCTATTGATGGAATTTGTCTTTAGACTGAAAAAAGAAAGTGATTTGTGGTGAGATTCCAAAAAGGAATGCTGAATTAAGTCATAACTTAATGTTTTAAATAAAAGAAAAAAAAAATTATAGGCATGGAATTTTTTTTTACTTGCACTTAACCACACTATTGTATTTTAGACATTGAATATAATTATCTAACAAGAAGCAGGCTCAACTGGTATAGTCTCCTTTCATTGTATGTGGCACGTTATTTATGCGTCTGGAGTGCATTTTAGATAGGTGAACATTGTACACATTCCCCATAGAAGATTTGTCTCTCATCAGAAACCTTATGCTTCCCCCCATGGAAGTCACCTCTATCGCTCATCAAAAACAAGTAGTACAGAATAAACTACAATATGGGACACATGGCTTGCTAGTTACAGTAGTTGAATGTAGTTAGCACTGTGATGATTGATGAAATATTGTGGTGGTATGCTTCAGTATGAAATGATGTACTTGCCTTGTCATTTTTCCCCTTGGGGAGCCACCTACTGATGACTAAGGCCAAGAATGTTAAGTCCTTATCTCAACAAAGGCTTATTGTGTTAAGGTATATTATTATTATACCTGCATTACAGTAGCATAATACAGTACCTCACAATCTGTATAAATAGTGCTGTACACTGTGTGTAGTTACAGTATTATAGTACTTTTGCCATGTTTGAATACTGTAGTGACACATATCTCCATGGTTTGTTCGACTACCAGGCCATAACCCCAGTACTGTATTTGCATATTTTTATCTGATTTCTTAAACCTGATTCTGTGTGCTATTTATTAATATACAGTCAATGAATGGTCTTAAGGTGTGTATTGTTTTTGTGAACAATGGGTTGTTTGATGAGTCAGGTTGTGCTTCGTTGAATCTGAAACAGTAAATAATTACCGAGCCTATTTGTTAAAAGTTCATTGGCCGTATGTAACAAGTAGGTGTAATTGAATTTACGCTGCCATTAAAACACCTGTAAACTACAGGGTAGGCATCCATAGGGCATTTGTATACTTACTACCAACTGTACAGAGGCATTTGCTAAAAACCTCAGTGGGTAGGCAGAGTAAACTGTTAACCATTCAAACTTTTGTTGTTATCGAAGTATGGGACCCACAGTAAACAGTGTAGTTGTAACCACTTGTTGGCAAGGTAAACATGTGGTTTTATTACGGAGGAAAACAATAAATCCATGATGGAGATACTTTACTTTGTTTCTCCTCCTGACTTAAAATGTACTTTTTTTATTTAATATTAATAATTTATAACATACTGGTATATAAAGCATAAAACACAGTTTCAAAAGCGCTTTTAGATAGCACAATTGAATAGACTGCAGTATAGTAATACAGTTAGCTACTGTACACTTTAATTTGCTTTGTAGGCCTACTGTACAACTTGGTTAAAAGCTCCTTAAATTTTTTAACAATATCAAGTACTTTGAAATAGTTATTATTGGTTTCCACATTGCAGAAAATGATAATATATTTCGTTCATTCATTTGCAAAATTTATCATCTTGTAATTTGTTTACACTACCAGAGGCTTGGATGCTTATCCAAATTGTGATATAAACTGTTTACAGTACACTGCATATGTTTTCAGGATCACAGTTGTGATTCACTTTGATTGCGACCTGTTTGTGTAAACAGTGTACATACAGTACTGTAAGCAGTCTGTGTGCATTGGTTAAAAGATGTCTACAAAACCTACTGTTTAAGAAAATTTATGGGGTTGTGATTAGCGAAATGGATAATTTAAAAATCACTTTCAATTGGGAGTAATCCATTTTTCCTCGTTTTCATTGCTAGGGGATTGGTCAACCCTGTACACTCTTATGAAAATGAAAAAAATGATTTCAAAGTGAAAATACTCATCAATTTATTATACTCTTTGGAGATTGAGATCACAGGAAAGAGAAAAAATGATAACTGTTTTGGGTGGTTTGCATTTCACAATAATTCTGAAAATAACATTTGTGTAATTGTTAATATTATCATTGGCAGTTTTACTGGGGTGGGGGGAGAGAAGCCCTTCCCTAAATTTTTCAGAATTAAAAAAAAAAAACTTTGAAAAATTATTCAAATTTTAATTCTGAGAGCGCCATTTCTGGCATGCTAGAGGTGCCATAATCATAAATGTTCTTGGTCTGTGTCCCTTCTACTTCAAATTCCAGGATCCGCCACTGGTTATCAACTCATGATCTAAGTATTCATTACTATTGAAGACAAAATTTTGATAGCTGTGAAAACCCAAGATTTTAATTCTCAACCAATACTGTGACCAATACAATGCAGTATTACAAACTAGGCTTTCCTTCCCATCAGCTAACCACCCAATCAGTTTGACTTCACTGTATTGTTATTCTGAAATCCATGCTTGACTTGAGTTTAACCATTGCTATAATATTAATCTTTGACTGGCCAATAATGCAAATAATCCTTGGCTTGAGTCACGTCTTCACATTCACTCGTGACAACACCAAAAAAAAAAAAAAAAAAAAAAGAAATAAAAAAAGCACTAAGTAGTGTACAATATTTTAAAGCTATCTGTGTCATAATCATCTTTGAACAACGACCAATTAAACAGGGATGTACAGTAGTTATCGTGGGCAGAGGTATACGGGGCCACCCAGCCTTGAAGTTTAGCACCCAGTCTAAAGCTAATTTCATGGCCCTCCACCCACCTTTAACCTTCTTGCCCATCCTTAAAATGTACTCTTGTGAAAGGATTAGAGTTTACCAATGTTTATCACCCACCCACCCTTAAAATGTCTATCATCACCTATCGTTTCCTACAGCTACAACCCTGAAAAAAAAAAAATTTAGCTTATAATGTCATGTCTTCAATTGGGCTATATTCACAGTAACCCTGCTTACAATATATTTGAAATCTATCTGTTATAATCGTAAAAATAAAATATTGAAATTAAGCTCTTAACATACAGTATTGCTGTCAGTAACTGTCCACTTAATTCACTTTCAAACCAAGAAGCATGCAGTATTTTTGACATTTGATTTTCATTTTTGCAATAAATACACATTTTATTACTTTCTTTAAAAGCTTAAAAGCAATTCTTAATAAATCTGAAATAAATAGTATGAAAGTTATTTACAGTAATGCATTTCACAGTAATGCATTTTCACGGTCATTGCTCTTAAACTTCTGTTGTTTTTATTCAGTAAAGATAGATCTCTGTGGATTACTGTATAGTTTAAATGCATTTTATTTACAGAATTAAATGTCCCAATTGCATATCTGTAACATTATCTCTACAATATTTCCTAGAATCTTGGCATACGATGTGATTTTCAGGTGCACCAGATCTGACTTAAGTCATAAATAATACTTAGTTCTCAATTCATACTTCTACAATATGCCCGATAAACCTCATTTACTGAATTGGAGTACCATACTGTATGTATACAGTACCTCCATGATACAACCAAATGCCAGTATACTGTATCATAAAACCAACAATTACATCATCTCCTATTAGACTGCTAACCGTGTACCGTATTCTGGCGTATATAAGGTGATGCGCGTATAAGACCACCCCTAAGTTTGATTTTTAGATGATTTTTGTATGTTGGGCATAAAGGAGGAATCCCCAGTTTCACCGTTGGAATTTCTACTTTTTTTTCTGCACTTTATGGTCTTTTTAAATGTTCATCAAAATCTTGTTTCCCCGCATTTAAAATTGCGTTCATGCATACTAATACAGCAGCTTCATTTCAGTAGTAAATTTGCATGTTACAGACAATCTCCACATGAGACGAACAGGATTTAATAACAAACAATTTTTTGTGTACTGCATATTAGAAAACTCCCCCCTCCTCTCCCCTACCCTCCCAATTTTTTTTTTATCATAATTTGCTATTTTAAGCCTTGTTAAACACGAGAATATACAGTATTTGTGTCATATCACACAAATTATAAGTTGATAATGCTGTGTGATATACTGTACTGTTTAAATCCATTTCATTGTTCCATTGAACATGAAAGTAAAAAACTCTAGTCTGCTGAACCTATTGGAGGATAATTTACCTAGCTCCAGCTCAGGTGTCCAGTGTCATAGTTTATGGTTTATCCATGACCAAAACTGCTGTGATTTATCCAAAATGCATGCTGTCTGCTTCTACACAACATATTTTTCCAGATTTTTAATGAACGGGTGGAGGAAAATATGATCATGTTTATTAAATTCCCAGTATAAGAGTTTTATGTAGTGATTCAAATTGAAAAGTATTTTTCAGTTCATGAACTTTTCACCATCTTCATCATCACATACAGTAATGTTGGCTATCGAGGCCAGCCTAATTTTAGAATGTAGTGTATAGCCTGAAGTGATTTTCAGTAAATGCATACTTGTATCTCATTTTCATAATGCACAGTACTCTACTTTATTCTTTAAATTTCTTAGATGACTGGCATAACCAAAGATTACTGCGTTACAACACACATAGTAATCTTCTTTCACGATGATGATGAATTTTATGTATTAACCATGGTCAACCGAAAAAAAAAAAAAAAAAACCCATCAAACAGTTTGTAACTTAAATGGTTTCTTTTTATCATCAACTGCATGGGTTTCCCTCCAGTCAAACACCACTTTTGGGACCAGGGTTTCTGTGGTCTTCAGCAGCTTATCCGTAATTAGACTAAAAAAGAAAAAGACATTTGTTGATTTATGACCACATAAATGGGGTCTTTAATTACAGGGAGACCCATACTTTATTTTTTGATTATGATAATTCATTGCTGAATATTTAACTTTATTTGTACTTTATATATTTCAGAGGAAGCAAACGAAAGCCTATATATGAGTGCAACCTTAAGGAAAAACAAAGGAATCAGTAAAATCCTTGGAGGTGGGAATGCATCAAAGCCGCTTAGACCGATCATGCCTATTGGGATGCCGCAAGACTTCCGAAGGGTGTCCGCTATTATCGATGTTGATATTGTGCCAGATACGCATAGAAGGGTTCGACTTCACAAGCACGGTTCTGATAAACCCCTTGGGTTCTACATCCGCGATGGAACAAGCGTACGCGTCACACCGAAAGGTCTTGAAAAAGTTCCAGGAATTTTCATTTCTCGGTTAGTTCCTGGAGGTCTTGCCGAGAGTACAGGGTTATTAGCGGTGAATGATGAAGTTTTAGAGGTTAACGGTATTGAAGTTTTTGGCAAAACATTAGACCAAGTGACCGACATGATGGTCGCCAACAGTTCTAACCTCATAATCACAGTGAAGCCAGTCAACCAGCGTAATACTATCTCGCGTTCGCATCGTAAACCTATTGCTCTACTACAGAACCAATCCCTGCATTTAAATCGTTCTTTACCGTCATTGGTCGATGCTGGTAGTCACAACCAACACGATTTAGACAGTGACGAAGACGAAGTAATGGATTTAGAAAATCAAGAGCCTTCGGGAATGTTATACAGAGAGACTGAACATATGGAAAAGGGACAGGGTGATTCCATAAGGAATGGCGTGCATAATGGGAATGCGTTGCACTCCACGTCCTCTGTCGATACTCTTGAGCATGAAACATCAGCACTTACTCTCTAACTGTGTACCACGCAAGAGTAATACCAGCAATGGTTGTGCCAATATGATGATAGTTTTACACATTGGATTAATAAATAAACTTTTAAAAAAAAATGTTGAGTAGTTCAGGTGTGAAGCCAAAGAGAATCATTCCGGTGCCTTTTGTGGAAGATTGCAAAATATGAAGGTTCAATTGTTTTGATATGAAGATGATCTCAGAATCTTACAAATCAAATCAAATTCTGTCCACACTACCAAATTTTATGTGACAAATTGTATTTGTCACATAAATGTTGATAGTGTGGACAGAATCTTAAGCTCTGTCCACACTATCAAATTTTATGTGACAAATTATGTTTGTCACATACAATTTGATATTGTGGACAAAATTTGGTAAGTGTGGACAGAGCTCAAGATTCTGTCCGCACTCAAATGTTATGTGACAAATATGTGACAAATATAATTTGTCACATAAAATTTGATGCAGTAGTTCTCATTATATCTGTTCTAGTACTTGAAGGTCCAAAAACTTTACGAATACAATTATGAATAGGGTAGTATTTAAGAGATAATTCGTCTGCATACCTGACACAGCACCTCTGCATTTTAAAATTCAAAACATCACCTTGTTATTGTCCACATGTAAGATCTATTCACAGGTACTGTAACATCTGGTTAATAATTTAATATATACAGTAATGTAAATTTTCTTATTAAGATTTGATGGAATAAGGGACTCAACATGTAGTATTCAGCAGTGTTTTAAAGGTATATATTTGTAGGAATAAGTTAGTCAAGATAATTCAATTTAAATGCCTTGATACTTAAGTGGGAATAAAGAATGTTTTCTAAGAACCCAGTTTGATTGCTAAGAGGAAGTATTGCAGTATGTACAGTAACATTACTCATGCCATTGTACAATTTATCTGGTCTACTGAATATAGGCCTACATTGAATACAGAACGTTTTGATCCACAGTATTCAAAAGAATTTAAACTCCAGTATATTAAATTCTCGTGGTATTCTTAAAATGTGACTTTTGTTCATTCAGGAACCGACCAAATACAGTAGTTGCCAAGTACCATTGCCAAAAACAGAGTAATTTAACATTTTTTGAATGTACAAAAAGTTAAAGGGCAAGTACAATAAATTTAACAATAAAATTCCAAAATTTTGCATTGCCCTATATTCCAATATATTTATGAATTCCTACCAACTGAAAATAAATAAATTTAAAAATATGCACACAAGAAAAAACATTCCTGTTTATAGCTAAAAGCAAATGAAAGCATGGTTTTGATTGAAGGTTCTGTCATTATTGACTGTTGTTATTGTTCACTATTTACTGTTTACAGGTTGTACTATAGAACACACATAAACACAGTAAGGTCAGTTGTCAGAGGGCGTGGCTTATTAGTAGGCCTTAATGTTTCAGCACTACTGATGATATCCAGTGAGTACCAGAAACTTGGACTTCATGACCTTTGCTTATTATTCCACCCTCCTGACCCATTCCTGTGTTTTAGGTTTTCTATTATTTAGGTGGAAGCTCACACATAAACATTCACTCTGGTTATTCCCAGGGCTGCAATCAAACATCACCTTTAAGAGTGACAAGCAAAGCACTTGATTATTTAACTGCTGCTCAGCAAACCTCACCTGACCTCAAACTTACCTGTTCATGGTAGATAAATCTTCCAATTTAATGTGCAAATCAAAGAATAAGGATAGATAGATCTAATTGCCAATGTTATCTAAACCATGGGAGGGATAATTTATTATACTCAGTGTTTGACCCAATATTAACAGCAATATGGAATTGAAGTGAAGGGGACGGAAGTCGTAGTCCTATTGTTAGACTGTTAAATTTATATTTTCCATCTGTGTTTTAAACAGTTGCTTAATTTTTGATACAATTAGTTTGAACAATAGAGTTAATATTTGTATACAGTATTCCGAACAAGAAGTCCCCATTCAAAATACTTAGAAAGTACTGTGAATTTTGAATTGAATTTGTGAGAGTTATAATTATATCACTTCCTTCTCAAAGAATCTAATGATATGAAATATGACAACGAACACCTCAGCTCACGTAAAACATAAATTAATAAAAAATGAATGAAGTGGACTATAAAATTTACTTCACCTTGGTGGATCATCCAATAAAATTCAGTTAGATAATAATTTGTATTAAATTCATTTATATGGACAATGTTTTAGCAGAACATTCTACAAAAAATATATAGCAACAACCAATTTAAATAACCATTGTATAGAATACAATGTGTTATGCTAGAGGAATTGAACATGTTTTGATTATGGGGGGTCGTGGTATTTAGTCAATATGAATTCTGTTAGATATTAACCAGGTTTTTGAATTCTTTCATAATAAGCTGGTGGTATTGGGTTATTCATCTTGTTCACATGATTTCATTAATTTGAGGTCAGGTCACTTGAAATGTTCATCATGTACTGTTACTTGATATTGTATTCAAACACTGTGAATTGTTACATCAGAAAACACTTCTTCTGTTACTAGCTAGAAGAATATTCATCAGGTCACAGATTTATAGTACCCATTGTTTTGCTTTATACCACCTTCCTGATTGATATTTATTTGTTCATTTCTTGTCATCAGCAAGCCAAAGTAGACTGTTTATTATACAGTAGCTATAGGTCATGCGCAATTTAAGTTGTGTGCTTACCAAACTTTTAATTATTTATAGTCACTTGGTGGTGGTCGTGGTAGAATGATGGGGGAAAGTTAATTTCTAGCTGTATTTTTCTGGGAATTCAGGCATATACAGGAAGGGGACAAACAGATCATACTCCTCCATGATCAGAGGATCTCCATAGATAAAGACATTGCCAAATAAAAGCCGTAGACACATTCCATGCTTAATCTCAGTCAAGTTTACCACCAAAATTTAAATTCTGATACAACAGGTAAAAGTTGTTTAAAATCACTTGAATTTGTATGCTGCACCAATAAAACATTTTAGACAAATATAAAGAAACTAAAAGTAGAGCATTTAAAACATGTTTTACTCATTATTAAATATTTATCTTTCCAGTTCCCAAAATTCTATAATGAATCATTTAGTGATAATATTAGTATTCAATTAATCTACGTAAATAATTATAATAGTACTTGCACATACACAGTATATTGTAATGTATGAATTTAAATCTATCACAAAGTCTGTTGTGAAAGTCTTATTGCATATTCATTCCGAAGATGAGGATGTATATCCCTGATATTTTTATACAGTTGTGAGAGATGGAGGTGCGTGGGGTTTTGTAACTATTGGATTGGTGCGTGGATGTATTGTACCACCATGATAGGGGTGGGGGGTAATATAAGTTGGCATTTTTTACCTGATGTATAGTACTTTAAATTTATCCAACATTTAATTAGATTTTCTGCAGGCAAAATACTTTTCAGGAATTAATACTGTAGAATGTTGATATTGGCCTACTGATATGCAGGTGTAAGATGAATTAATTTCTTATTGGTAGAGCCATTTTGCTTGGAATGATATAATTCATTGTATAAACGAATTGAAAGAAAATGTATAAAGTTGCTTTGATTTCTATGAATACAGCATTGGTGAGTTGTGAGGAACTTTAATCGATTGTGTATTTTCTATGAACTTTTTGATAAATTAAAAGCATAGTTAATGATGCTTATAATACTGTATATTGTTATATATTTTTTCAAAATTTAGACGCTTAAGAATTGGTCCTGTTTCTAGTGCCTTTTAATTCCTTTCTTAAGAGAATTTCTTGTCGCAAATATTAATTAATCTGTATATTTTTATGTAAATTTTAGTTCTGCTTTTTAGGGTTCTATTGTTTGGGGGTACAAGACTTGGAGACCACAGTTGAAAACATTTTACTAAGCCATGGATGTAGGCGCAAATTTTAATGTTGAGTATTTTTATGAATTAACGTTTAGTTGTGTCATCCAATGGATCTATAGGCCTATATATCATACCAAAATATTTTTGTATGTACAATTGGTGGAGTTATGAAATTCATGCATTTAAATGGAATAATAAATAGCTTGAGTAGTATATTAATTTGAAACCAATATATTTTGACTTTTATTTCCTGATTGTTATGTGTCAATGTAATTAAATATTATTTCATCTAATAAATTATATCACTATTAAAATGTATTAATATTGATTGTTTAAAAAAAAAATATAGAACAACTTTAGAAAATCAGTTAAAACATTTAATAGGTCATTTTAATGGAATAACTATAGTTACATCTATATAAGCTACCGTAACTTCAATTGTATCCATATTGAATAACATTTTTTTGGTAATTTCCGAACCTTTGATTTGACATTTTTGATTTGACCATTGATTTGCCAATTTACTATATTTACTATTTATGTTTGCTAATTGGTGAAAAATATATGCACATTTTAAATTTCAATTTAAAGATAAATTACCTAATTAAGTAATACAAAATTAGCAATTAAAATGTTAAATTTTAAATATTGAATTTTATTTTTTTAACTCAGCACATACATTGTAAGTCTATCTTGGGATATATGTTGTACTGTGTAGAGCTAAAGAAATTTGGATAAATATTAAATATTTAAAATTGCTTACATTTATATTCCATCTCCATCCACCAGTTTTGATGTCACAGTTCACGAGCTGTGTTGTATTTTCTGTTTGTTAAAGTGGGTACACCACCGCTTTTAGTCTTCTTAAAATTGGCTGGTACAATAATTCTAAAATATTTAGTAGAAAATGTATTTTTTCAACTCTCTCTAGAAGTTGGTACATTTTCTTTTATCCTTATATGAGCTATTGAATGTTTTAATTGAATGTTGAAGTACTGTATTTCTATATGACAAATTGTATATCTTTTAGGTTCCATTATAGGTACACTGTCGTAATTTTTGTTGTTGAACAAACCACAAAGAACAAACAAGGCACTCAACAAATATATTTTTGTTGACATATAACTGCTAACATGAAGTAATTTATTGTATTATGTAATAAATTAATAAATAACTTCATTAATATTATTATATAATTGATTTAAAATGAGCCAGTAAATATGATTATTCAAATTTTAATTTTACATGTAATTATTTTTACTGTTATTGCTTCATATATTTTGTAGGTGTTTTTTATTTCTACACACGCCAAATGTATTTGTATATTATTAGTCGAATTTGCACTATGTATCATGTTCTGTTCTTGAATTGAATTTTAAAGGGGTTGTGACATAGAAAAAGCATTTCAAAATAAAGAAAGTGCACAAGAAACTCTTTATTTTCTTTATTTGTTTGTGGAAGGATAGAAATTTGTATGGATGGGTGTATGCAAAGGGGGGGGGGGGGGGGGTGGGGGAGGTTGTAGACGACCACCCCCAAAAAGAATATTCAAATGTCCACATTTTTCCAAAGACTTCTTTTTCTAGGGCCTTTTCACAATAACATAAATGAAAAAGCATTGATGAAGTACCAACAATGAGTCCAAAGACCTTGCCAATTGCGTGACATAATCTATCTCAATTCCAGCAATTTTAATTTTCATTTTTATTCACATCTTCCTGTTATCTCATTGTGAAAAGGTCCAAAAAATTATGATCACGACTCACCCAGAAAAAATCCTGGATAACCCCTGGTAGTAGACTTTTTACAGTAGACTGGATTGCTGTGGATATTAATATTCATGAGTGACCTTTGACTCAAGTTGAGATGATGACAACAACGTAAACTGGCTGGGTGAGCGATCCTATGTTGCCAATTTTTATATTACTCAGTGTTTTCTTTACTTCCTGAAACTAATAATTATCCTATTATGCTATTAAATTTAAGATTATGAGAGTCATTTGAAAGCAGGGTTGATGTGAGTGGTCACTATCGGTTTTTTGTTTTTGTTTTTGTTTTTGTTTTTTTTTTGCGAACCTTGCCTAACATGGTTATATTACATTGGTAAAACCGACTAAAACAAAACAGTAAATAAATTGAGACCACTATTTTTAGGTTTCAGATTTCGTTTAATCTATAATAAAATCAATGTAGAAGTAAGTGGTTGTCAACAGGGTGGTGCCACGATTCCCCTGACAAGGGGTCCGATATCTATGACGAGAGCAATATGGGCGTGGTCGGGTGTCGCTCAGAATGTTTCCAAAGTGTTCCAGGGGGAAGGGGTGGGGTTGAACCTTTCAAAAGAACCACATTAAAACGGGCAAGAAAAAGCTCTCTTTTTAAATCTCATACATGTCAATCAAGCGTTATAAGTTGTTTATAAAAAATTCTATTATTCTGACTAATTTATAATTTTTCTATTTGATCACCAGAACAGAAACCTGCCCCCGCCCCACTTTTTTTTTCTATTTCCAGCCCCATCCACCAAATTCATGATTAATATTTTCCTTGAAGGCATCCCACACAGACACAGGGCCGTCGGAACCGCACCGTCCGCACCGGTGTCGGGCCGGACCAATTCTTTTAATATTTTTATTACTTTAAAAAGTACGTATACCTATAAATTATATTAATAATTTTTGCACCTCAATGTCATTCGAATGTTTCACCATGTACCCGTATGTGTTTTGTAGTGCACCATTAGCCTATGTATTTCAAGCTCCTGTTATGAATTAATTTAAAACTTTTTATAAATCTTTGATTTTAGCAAAATTTGCTCACCTTTGCCCCAACCATGCAGAGTGTGTAGGGTATCTTGTCGCCCACTAGGGGAAATGGCTCTATAGGTTGGCAGATGCTATTTCCAGACATAGGTGGGGGGGGGGGGTGTTGTTATTTATTTATTTATTTTTTTTTTTTGGCACAATATTCTTAAGGGTTGGGGCTTAGCGGAATGGTTCCTCTCCTCGGTAGCATGGGAGGTAGAGCTGTTAGCTCAGTATCCTTTTGTAGCCATTGATAAACATAATATTTACGTTGAAATATCATTGTAAGGGTCGGCTTAGAGTAGAAAATGTAGTAGTAAACTGTAAACAATATATTAGATTCAGTAAATATACGCAGGTATAATTATCCCCCCCCCCCCCCCCCCCCCCCCCCCCCCGGTATTTCTAATTTATTTATAAAATAATGATTTATATATTAAAAAAGTGACTAAACTACATGGTAAAAACTACTATTGCCGATCACCGTCCCAGTATTTATCAGTGAACTTTCTATTGTTTTCCTCTGTTTATAGTGTAATGTATGTCTACTCATATCAGTAAGAAGAAAATGCCATATAGGTGCACTTCCTTAAAAGAGGTCTTTATATTTGAAGTCGGAAAACATCAGTGTCGGCGCCACCAGCAGAGGTGTGAGATAGATAATCTGGGAAATGGGATCTTGGACTTCCCATCGAAAAATTTTTTAGCGAACACTATACTTTTAGTGTCTCAGGGTGAAATTTCCTGGCATGGATTGTCGAGAAAGTTGGATCTTCATATCTGGAAATCTATGGCACCGTCACTGCATTACGTCCGGTTGGGGCTGTATCTACGCCATTTTGTCGAAATTCAGTTTGCCGAATCCCAGATTGCCTAGTCCACTTTGCCGAAATCCCATTTTGGCGAAATTCCATTTTGCCGAAACAACCCTGTTTGCCGAAAGTCAATCAAAAGCAGTGAAACACTAAAAACACATATAATAACATTCGTGATGGAGCACTCTTTTACCGTGACTGCAGTACGAAATGGTGGAGCCAGCGGAAACTAAGGGCATAGACATAGATATCTATTTATTCATCCGTAATTGGAAATTGTTCTTTTCCACTCTCAAAGAAGAAAGAAAAGTACATGATTTATCGGGAAAAAAAAGAAACTATCTATTACATGTTACATACATACATTGTTAAAGAGGCAAATTCCAGAATTGCGAAATTTGAAAATTTAGAAGCCTTCCAATGTGAAGTGCGATGCGCGCGATCTCTGTTTATTCGTATAATAAATAAATGCTTATTGCAGTTTAATGATTAGTTTTGTCTTATTCTGTAAATCAAACTTGATTAACAAGTTAGCTATCAGCAAACAAAATTAATTAAATAGGCCTGTCAGATAAAATGTCTAAAGTATATTTATAATTAGTGTATACAGTTTAATTAATATAATATGTATACCTAAATGAAATAAATAAATAAATTATAATAATTATAGACCCGAATCAAGGGGCTTAAAAAATCCATGTGTTCGCGTTGGGAGTTTTTGGGGTATTTTTTTTTTTTTTTTATAAAACAATATTAGAAATTGACAATCAAAATAGCGTTATATGGATAGGCAAATTATAATTTTTGGTCCCGGACGAATTCGTCGAATAAACGCCCTGAGGAGTTTATTGTTGAGAATGGTTTTTGAGGGGAAGTTTATTCAAGGGAGGTGTTTATTCAAGGCAGGCATTTATTTTTTTGTGTGTGTGTGTAAAATGGATACATACTGTATATACTAAAACGCCCCTTAATTCCACTGTAATTGAGATTTAATTCTACTGGAGTAAAACATAGAAAGTGTTGGAAATAATATTTCTATTAGATCTGTTTACAGTCAAGGAGTAGTTTATTCGAGGAAAATGTATACGACACGGGGTGTTTTCGAAAGAGGCGTTTATTCCAAATGTGGCTCTAGAAGGGGCGTTTATTCAAAGCGGAGCGTTTACGCGGGTACAAATACAGGAATGTAAATATGGCTCCTCCCTGATCCACCCATCATGTTTTCAAAAGCACAGTCTGCTGTACTTTTATACGATGGTGACGGCAAATGATTCGGCAAGCTGGGTTTCGGCAAACTGGGTTGTCATGATTTCGGTTAACTGGATACGGCAAACTGGGCTTCGGCAAAGAGGCCATTAATTCGGCAATCATGGGTTTCGGCAAACTGGATTTTGACAAACTGGTCGTCGGATACCGTTTCGGCCCCAGTGCTAGACCAATTCGAGAATGGACGCTAATGAAGGAGTGAGCGCTGAACTAATAATTTGTAGGTTTATCCTGGTAGGGCGCTACTGTCCTTGGCAGCAATTTTCCTTCAGATAACTGTTTGGTTGTGCACCTGTCTCATAATATTCAAATTACGGCTGAAGCAAGAGTGTGTGTGAACTGCCGGAACTGTGTCGTAGACACGTCGTTACAAAAACATCTTCTGAAATATTGAGTTTTGGAATGGTGTTTCTTCTAAGAAAGAAAATATACATAAAGGTAAGTAGTGTACAGGCCCGTAGCC